GTTGTGCGAGACAATTAATGTTCGTGAATTTTTTGTTTCAAAAATTTTACACTGTTTAGGGAAAACAAATTAAATATTTAATTACCAATTTCTTAATACTGGCAGACAATCATCTGACCCATAGGTGGCAGCCATCTCAAGCCAGAGGACGAGAGGACTCTAGCCGCCACGCATATAAAGGATTTATAGTGAAAGACTTTGTTTTTACGGGTTAATTTTTTTATCTCTCTCTCGAGATATTCACGCTGCAAATAGATAACGACATTGCCCAGAGTGGGGGTGGGTGGGGGCAGGGTGGGTCGGGTTAAAGAAAGCAGTGCATCACCCTGCGGAAGATGATAATGTCTAGTCACATTAGGAGCACGACGTTTATACCCACTTGCAATAGAGCAATTGCCGCAAGCCAAACTCGCATCGCTTCAGTCATCAGAGCTGGAATCAGGCGAATTAAGTGACACCATTTAAACGTGGAGATTATCAGACGGAGACGATTGAGGCACTGCGCTGGAGAACCCAGTTTATTCACAACTCGGTCTGTGTGAGTTTATGGTCTCTGTGTGATCATTGGGTCTCTGTGTGAGTCTACGAGTCTCTGTGTAAATCACTGTATCTCTTTGTAAGTCTATGGTCTCTATGAGTCTGGGTCACTGTGTGAGTCTATGGTCTCTATGCGAGTCATTGGATCTATGTGAGTCATTGGGTCTCTATGTAGGTTATTGGGTCTTTGTGAGTCTTTGGTCTCTGTGCGAGTCTATGGTATGTATGTGAGTCTATGATCTGTATGAATCACTACCTATGAGATCTTCACTCAAAACTGCTCAAGAGGAGTTGTACACCCCTAACTGCCACTGCAATTTAGTGGCTTAAAATCCAATGTTTCGCTCCGGATGATCGCTACAAAGTATGATCTGTATTTTGATTTAGTGTGCTGATCTTAAACGTGCATTGAAAAATTTTGATACTCCGACTGATGCTCCTACTGTTGTGGAGTGACTCATGCAGCCAGCTATGGCTACAGGGTTTTGGTGGTACATGTTGTTTACGTCGTTTTTTGTGAAAATTCGGTCACAGTTCCTATGATCACTGTTTCATTGCTTTTATGGCTTTATTTTGGTGATTTTCGAAAAGTTTTTTGGTTTGGCCATGTTTGTTTGTTGTAGTACAGAGTTAGACTGATGGCCTTAATCTAAGTTGTCTTGTGGTTGTTGTTGTTTGACTTGCATCCCACTGGGATATTTGCACAGGGTTGGTGTACGGTGATTTTTCTGCAATATTTTGCTGTCTTTTCTTGGTTTTTCTGTTGGCACATAGTCACTTTAAGATGTTTTCTTGTTCATGTTTTTGTTTTTTGTTTGTTGCGGTTGCACCCGATTCAAGAGCCGAGTGGCTCACAGGGCTATACCTAATAAATTAACTTTGAACTTTGATGTGAGTCATTGGGTCTCTGTGAGTCATTGGGTCTCTGTGAGTCATTGGGTCTCTGTGAGTCATTGGGTCTCTATGTAGGTTATTGGGCCTTTGTGTGAGTCTTTGAGTCTGTGCGTCTTTGGGTCTCTATGTGAGTCTGTGGTCTCTATGTGAGTCTATGATCTGTATGTGAGTCATTGGGTCTCTGTTATTCATTGGGTCTCTATGTAGGTTGTTGGGCCTTTGTGTGCGTCTTTGGGTCTCTGCATGAGTCATTGGCGACCTGGCTGAGATCGACTCGTTACACTCAAGCACCTCCGATGAGTGCGGTTGAATACGTGCGGTGCAAAAGAAGTCCACCAAACATAGTGTGCATGCAACCTGGCTTCTTGCGGTGGGAACCTTATTGCGACCCAGGATTCTGAGCGGTGCTGGCTCATTGTCGCCGACGTGGCCACGAGGAGTCGCCCCACTGAGCCGCGTGACGACCTCCGAGCAGAGTCGCACAACGAGCCGCCAGGCGCATCTCACAAAGCGTGGGGCTCGGGAAGAGATGAGCTCCAAAACAATAATAATAATGACCATGAAGTCAAAGATACATTTGGTATTCTGCAAGGATATCCACGAAGGAGGGCACCGTGTTTCACAGACGGGTATAGTCTGCCAGCATGGAGGATGTCACCAAAATTGTTTTATCCAATTAAGTGATTTGTGGGTAATATTTGGCAAGGGACCGTTATGCCTGTGACGCAGACGGCGCGCAGTGTTTGATGGTTAATATTCACCCGCAGTAATAATCACCCCATCACCCACCCAGCCGCTCACTCACTCATCTACTCGCCCACCCATTCACCCACTCACCGAGCCACACACGCACTTAGCCACCCATCCACTCCCTCACCAACGCAGTCACCCACCCACTTACCCATCCACTTATCCAACTATTCATCCAACCATTCATCCAACCACTCATCCACCCAACCCATCCACCCACCCACCTATTCACCCACTCACACACCCACCGATTCACCCACTCACATACCCACCTCTTCACCCACTCACCCACCCACCGATTCACCGACTCACCCACCCACCCACTCATTCACCCACCCACCCGCTTGCCACTCTTCCTATTCGATTCACGTCACGGGCTCTTTAAGGTTCTCTGTGAAGCAGGCGGACCGAGGACATCTGCAACAAACGGCGATCGTCATCAGCATCATCATGGCAACATCAGCAGCAGCAGCGACAAGGCAAGGCTTGGCTTCAAACATCCAGCACTTTTATTTGAACATAGAAAACGAGACTTCTTGGTTTGTTTTATTGATCTACACAAGGCGCAAGATGTGCACGATCACCGTTCCAACCCCTAAAAAAGATACCCGTCATCCCTCCCCCCCTCCCCCCCTCCCTCCCCCAGTGCCCCCCAACCCCACGCCCCACAGTACACCCTACCTAACCCCTCCTGTGACACAGATTTGCCACATCTCACGACGGGATTGAAGACAAGGGAACCAAACAATGTTTGAGAATCGTACCGGGGATTTGATTTCAGCCACACCCGGCACAGCACATCCAGTATACCCCCTCTCGATATCCACGTGGCTACTGCCAGTCACGTGTCACCTATTGAAGTCTACCAACGACCCGGAATATGTCTTCCAGCCCGGAACACCGCATCCAGTATACCACATCGCTAGGGATGTGGCTGCTGATCACGTGCCGCCTATTCCAGCCTTCCAACGAGTCGGAAAATATGTTTTCACACGGCACACCACATTCAGTATACCATCTAGATATGGCTGTGACTACTGCAAGTCACCTGCGAGCCGAGGACACAGATACATAGAAGATGTTACAGGGGCCGTCGTTCTCACACACCGAGAGCCCTGTCATAGCAACGTGGAATTTCCAACCACTAAGAGTATTGTTTGTTGTTGTAACTTGCCCACCTGCCCCTGCTGGACATCTGTGGGGAAAAAAGAGCTCAATAGCTCATCGGATTCCTCCTCCAGCCTCAATAGAAATTGTGATTGTGAGAAACACGCCCGTGGAATGATGATGCCTTCATACAAGCGAGCTCCACTGATGCAGCGTCCAGCCAACAGTGGGGCCGAGGCGGTGGTCACCCCCTCCCCCCCCAAACCCACACGCCTTGATGAGACCCCCCCCCCCCCCCCCCAAGTTATTGATATTTCCCAGAGAATATTATTCGATTGATTTTGTTGTTTCATGAATGTAGAGCCCTATTTAAATAGCTTAACATTTCTGGCTCTCACCCTCCCACCCCCACCTTCATCCCCCTCCACCTCCACCCTCCCAGCCCTGCTCCCTCCTCTTGGGATGTTTCACACATCCACACACAAAGGTCCCCCGTATAGCCTTAACAGACTTTTCGAGCAAGTGCCTCGCTTGCTGCAGACACACACAATTCCCTGCGTGATCTCATAGCGCACACACACACACCTGCATTCTCAATACGCAGTACATTACTACATATGCAAGCACACACACACACACAGCTCTCACAAAATGTCAGCTTGCCCTATGCTGGAGTGCCAAGGCCTTCGTAAGGTTCTAACCCCATGCCCCCGACTGAACATCTGTGAGAAAAGGAGCTTCTTTGCTCATGGGATTCGTCCCGCAGTAATACATGCAGATTCTGATTCTGTCTCAATGGAATCACTCCAACAGGCAGTGCTCTCACCGCGTCCAGACGGAACCCCTTCCACCCCTCCCAACCCCTAGGGTCATTAGCTCCTGGGGTGGGAGGGTCACCACACGCGGCACAGAGGCCCATGTAGGCCCCAAGGCCACTTCTGTTTCGTAGGCCTTTAGTGATAACTGTCTATACTTGGGACTGCTGCCCATGTTGGTACCGCCGCTGTTACTCCGCTTGTTTCACGCGTACGTGTTTTGCCTTGCTTTATGAAAAAAAACGATTGACATTGACATGATTCTGCCTCTTTGTATATGCACTGTGCCTATCTATGCTCTATAAATATATTTATTCAAGAAGATATCTTGGTTACTTTTTTTAACAAACATAAAAATACCGCGTCAACATTTTTTGTTTTGGAGCCTCCTTTTCGTTTTTAATAGGCCCCTCGGCACAATGCGTACTATGGCCTACCTAATAATACGGCCCTGGTGGGTAAGTGAGTGGGTGAGTGAGTGAGTGGGCGAGTGGGTGAGTGACCTAGGTGAGTGAGTGGCTGGATGAGTGGGTGAATGGGTGGGTGGAAGAATGTGTGAATGAGTATACGCCTGGGCTACAGTGTCCACTACTGTTGCCAATTGGATAACAAGTTCCTGGTGGGTGGATGAGTGACTTATTGGGTGGGTCAGTGGGTTAATTAATGAGTGAGTGGGTGGCTGGGTGATTGAGTAGGCCCTCGGGACAGCCACTTGCCCCCGGCAGTCTGTTACAGGCTACGCGGGGGATCTTTGTCTTTCTTGTTTGCGCGTGTTGACTGTGACGTCACACGTAGGAGGTCTGGACCAAGTGGGAAATGGAGGAGCACGTGACCCGAGTAACGTTTAAAAGGGGAGACGGGGGAGAGGATTCCAGTGACTCGGTGAGCAACGCTGAGCACCGACAACCTCCAATTAGCAGGACGCTCAGCTGCTACGTACGGTGGAGCGAAAGAAAATTCAACGTACCGTACGTATAAAGACTCACACAGAGATCCATAGACTCGCATAGAGACGAGTTCACTCACACATAGACCCACAGATTCATACAGGGATCCGTTGCCTCACACAGAGACCCACAGACTAACACGTAGACCCACAGACTCACACATGGACCCGTAGACTCACACAGAGATCCATAGCATCACACAGAAACCCATAGACTTACACGGAAACCCATAGACTCATCAAACATAAACCCACAGACTTACACATAGACCTACAGACTCAAACAGGGACCCGTAGACTCACAAAGACCCATAGACTCACAAAATTACCCTTAGAATCACAGAGAGCCCTGTAAAATCATATAGACCCACAGACTCACACATAGACCCACAAAATCACACAGGTAATCGTAGACGCACACAAAGATCCATAGCCTCACACAGAGACCCATAGAATCACAAAAAGACCCATTGACTCACGAAGAGACCCGTAAACTCACACAGGGACCCGGAGACACACATATATATCCATAGCCTCACAAAGAGACCCATAGACTCACTCAGTCCATTGACTCCTCACGCAGAGACCCATAGACTCAAACAGAGACCCATAGACTCACAAAAAGACCCATAGACTCAGAAAGAGACCCACAGACTCACACAGAGACGAGTAAACTCAAACATAGACCCACATACTCACACATAGACCCACAGACTCACACAGAAATCCATAGACTCACACAGAGATCGATAGACCCCAACAGAGATCCATAGACTCATCAAACAGAAACCCATAGACTTATCACACAGAGACCCATAGACTCATCACAATAGACCCATAGACACACACAGAAATCCATGGACTCACACGGAGTCGCATAGATTCACACAGAGACCTGTAGACTCACAAAGAGACCCACAGATGCACAGAGACCCATAGACTCACACAGAGACCCATAGATCCCACAGAAACCCATAAACTCACGCAGACTCATAAACACACTCAGAAACCCATAGATCCACACATGTGAAGTATGGGAATTGACGGCAGGAACTTCTTGACGGGTAACACACTTTTATTAAATCCTTTAGGTATCACAATACAACGTGTGGTCTCTCTTCTTCCTCCGACACACTCCACTAATCTCGTGTAAGCTCTAGGCCTCTGGCTACACCCGATACACTTGACTCGTGTAGACCCTATGCCTCTGGCTACACACAATATACTCGACTCGTGTAAGCCCTATGCCTCTGGCTACACAATACACTCGACTCGTGTAAGCCCTATGCCCTGGCTACACATAGTACATTCGGCTCGTGTAGACCTATGGCTACACCCACTACACTCGCCTCTGGGTTACACAGAGTCCCGGTCCCCTTAGGACAGCGGGGCTAGGTACCGCAGGGCTCTAGGTCTTCATCCCCGTCTTCCTTCTTCGCTGGTTACACACTGCCCTTACGCCTGTGTGCATCCCCTTTTATAGCCCCTGCTCACGAGGGACGGAGCTGATGCGGCGTCGACGTGAGCGTCGTTCCTTAATGACCCAATCACGACGCACTCTCTCTACGATCCGCTTTCCCCAGCGCGTGTTAACATTACTCCACCAATCACACTGCGCTGCCACCTGATCACTCCCTCTCAGCGCGTCACCGCCCACAGCCAATCGGTACCCCGTAACCCACGACCCCGCGCTGACCCCTGATCCTCCACCGTCAGCGCGCGTCACCACCTACACAGCCAATCATCACGCACTGTGCATACGATCCTTAATCCCAGCGCGTATCACCTCTACATCACCCCCTCCCACATAGCTTGCAGCCGGCCCGGCTGTTAACCTACAATACAACATAACGCAACGCAGTAATAAAGAACTCCACATCCCAGTGTGCCCCGTAACACAACAACAACAACATAACACAACCTTAAATATGAAGCAATATACAGCCCGACGAACAACACAATAAAAGCGAACACCGTAAAACGAACGCGCCAAGTGTCACTGTGACCCACGCAGTGCCGAGGCGCTCCGGCTGCCTCGACTCCGCACGTGGTAGGTTACACAAAGTAGCGCGACCTAGCGCGAGTCCGTCTGGCCGGTCCGTCGTATGGAACGGGACGTTGGCGACCGTCCGGTGTCTCCGGCAGCTCTAGACGGCATGGGTCGGGCCTGGAAGGACCGGCCCCGCCGTGAAGATCCGGCCGCCGGTGGTCGGCAGCAGTCAGTTCCGAGACACCTGGGAGCGGATCAGGCGGAGACATGTGAGGAGCAGGCAAGGACAATTCCCCCTCAGGGTCGTCGGTCACGTCACATGCTCGGCCCTCACGACACAAGGGGAGGCCATACGGAGGCGAGAACGGTTTCAGTCGGGAGGGGTGGACGTACCAACTGCGTTTCCCCCATTTTATCTGAACGCACTGGGGGCGTGCCACCCGCACGACCTCCACGGGTCCCCGCCACGGCTTCAACAATTTAGGCGACGTGGCCAAAGGTGCCTGAGGGCAATGCAGCCAGGCCTTGTCACCTGGTTCCCAATTGTGCACGGACACCTTCCGTGCCCGCAACCGCTCGTTCGCAATTTGGCGAGCCCGCGAATTAAGCCGTGCGGCCTCCCTTGCCTCTGTCAGTTTATGAATATTAAATTTAATATGCTCTGCCAATTTAGAATTAGTTCGTGGTGCGGGCAGACCCAGCTGCGTTTCCATGGGCGGGTCGGCTTCCCGACCGTACATTAGAAAAAACGGGGAAAACCCCGTAGCTGCATGGGGGGCCATTCTATACGCGGCAAGGACCCCAGGGACCTGCAGGTCCCAATCAACATGCGACTCACACACCTGCTGGCACAGCATAGAGGTCAATGTCCTGTTAAGCCTCTCCACCATCCCGTCCGTCTGCGGGTGGTACGGGGAGGTACGCACCTTTTTGGTACCCAACAGGTCGCACACCTCCTGCAGTAATTTACTCGAAAAAATTTTCCCTTGGTCAGTCAGCAAGCGTTCGGGAGCCCCCTTGTCCAGGACGTAGCCCTGGACAAAGGCGTCCGTCACAGCCGCCGCCGACTGGTTGGCGAGTGGCCACGCCATAGGCCACCGGGTAAAATATTCGACCCCCACCAACAGGTACTTATTACCCCTAGGCGTGACCGGAAAGGGCCCCAGAATATCGAGTGCAACGAGCTCGTTAGTGCGCGAGACCTGAATAGATTGCAGCGGTGGATTAGCTGCCACGGGCGGTGGTTTCCGTCTGGCGCACTCAACACAACCCTTCAGAATATTCACCACGTCACCCCCCATTCCCGGCCAATAATAGTCACGCTGAAGCAGGGCAAGCGTTTTGTTAACTCCCAAATGCAAGAGGCGTTCGTGTGCGGCCAAGACAACCTTCCCCCTCACAGCAGAAGGCACCACAATCGCATGCCGCCGGGACAAACTGTCCCATCTCATCAACAGGCCCTGCTTAAGCTCGTAGGAGCCAGTTCGGTCGTGGCTACCTTCGGAACCCTCCGTCTTTCAGCGCAATGCCAGCAGGGAGCTGTCCGCCATTTGGAGACGGCCCCACTCAATCAACGACAGTGAGAGCAGCGAGTCCTGACCCCCTGGGGTAGCGGGACCATCCCCAATTGGTGTGCTCGCGGTCGCAACCAACGCCTCCCTACCTTCCGTAACCGGAGGTTTACAGCGCGCCGATCCCGATAAGCACGCACATTTGTGACAAGGCAACAACCGCGACAGGGCATCGGCATTCGTGTGTCGCAACCCTTTACGGTACGTAGTCGTGAACTGATAGTCCTGGAGGACTTCCAACCACCGCGACAATTGGCCCGAGGGCTGGGCAACCCGTAATGAATACTGGAGCGCCGCATGGTCCGTCCGGACCGTGAAATGACGACCATAGAGATATGGCCTGAACTGTTGTACAAAAAAAACAATGGCAAGTAGTTCACGACGGGTGACGCAGTAGCGCTGCTCTGCCGGCGACAACACCCTGCTACCATAGGCGACCACCCGTTCGACCCCTCCAACGACTTGGGACAGCACTCCCCCAATGCCCGTGTTGCTAGCATCCGTGTCTAGCAAGAAGGGACTCTCAAAGTCCGGATAGCACAAGGGTGGGGCCCTTACCAAGGCGTCCCGGAGGGAGCAGAATGCAGCCTCCTCCTCCGGTCCCCACCGGAACTTCACTCCTTTTGCCGTTAAAGCGTGCAAGGGCTTTGCAATGGTGGCGAAGTGCTCAACGAATCGGCGATAATACGAAGCAAAACCGATGAAACTGCGCACGTCTGACACTGACGTGGGCGTCGGCCACGAACTGACACAGTCCGTCTTCGCAGGATCGGTAGAAATCCCCGAAGAGTCGACAATGTGACCCAAGTACCTCACGGATTTACGAAAAAGATGGCATTTGGCCGGTTTAAACTTTAATTTAGCCGATCGCATTCGCAAGAACACCCCTCTCAATCGCTGGAGGTGTTCTTCGAACGTTTTACCGAAAACAATGACATCGTCAAGGTAAATGAGGCACGTCTCCCACTGCAAGCCCGACAAAACCAATTCCATAAGACGCTGAAACGTCGCAGGAGAGGAGTGAAGTCCCATGGGTAACCGGTTAAACTGAAACAGGCCCCCTGGAGTCCGGAATGCAGTCTTAGGCTTAGACTCCTCGTCGAGTGGCAACTGCCAAAATCCGGACAATAAATCAAGAGTCGAAAAGTATCGCGCACCGGACAATGCGTCGAGAGACTCGTCCATCCTGGGGAGCGGATACGCGTCGGCCACCGAGATCTTATTCAGGCGGCGGAAATCGACGCAAAATCGCAGGGACCCGTCCTGCTTTTTAACGAGCACAATAGGTGCTCCCCAAGGACTGGAAGAAGGCGAAATAATGTCGGCTTCCAGCATATCGTTAACTGCCGACTGAACATGTTCCTTCTCAGCAGGACTCAGTCGGAAGGGATTTTGCCTGACCGGTGCCGCATCGCCCGTTTCAATGTGGTGGCGTAGCAGGTCCGTGCATCCGATATCATACTTATGTTTACTGAAGACATCCGAAAATTCAATCAGCAACCCGCGCAACGCACCCAACTGTAGCGCTGACAAATCGTCAGAGTCCGCGCACAGCATATCAATCCAATCTAGGTCCTCCTTTGATGGTACGCTATTCGTGGGGCTCGGATCAGCCTGCGCAACCAGCCTCTCCTCCGCAGGGACCCGTGCCGCGTGAGCCAGCACGGTGCCCTGCTGAATGACGGCCGGCCGCGCCCCAGCGTTTAAAACCATGACAAACGGATCCCTGTCTGCCCCAACCAAAGTGTGAGCCACCGATAAACCGAGACCTCCAACAGCCCTATTAGAAGGACCCAAAAGCATGGCCTGTTCCGAGGCCTCCTTCCCCCATGGCTTCCGTAACCGGAGGGGAATCAACATTTGTGAACCCGGGGGCACGTGCACGGTCTGTGTTGCTAACGCCTGAATGGTAGCGCACGCCGTCCGAATTACATTAGGGCTCGTCAAAAATGAAATACGGCGACCCGATGGTAGTTCAATGCAACGCTGATCAATGAGAATTTTGATGGGCATTTTCGCCAAAAAATCAGTGCCCAATAGGCAAGGAACCGCCAGGGAAGATGAAACGAAAACGGGTCCCGACAATTTGATATCACCAATGCAAATGGACGCCCTAATCTGACCGATAATGCCCAACGATCCCCCGTTAGCGGCGTAAAATGGCACATCCACCGGAAGAAGCGGACGACATTGTACCGGGAGAATATTATAAATGAGATCCGAAATAATAGTCGCCGATGCCCCCGTGTCCACTAACACCCTGACCTCGACCCCATCAATCGATCCGGTAACGACGGATGAACCCGCTGAGGCAGCCACTATTCTGTGCCCCAATTCCGACCATTTAATGTCTCCCCGGTCCCGGCCGAACCCCCCTCTCCGAACCGAATCCCCGAACTCTACTCGGCTCTCCCTCGTCGCAACGCGACGACCCATACGTGTCGAGTATGCGGGCCAAGCATGTGAGGTGCCGCGACTTGCCGGGGTTTGCAGTGATGACTTGGGGCCTTGGTCGTCGTCCAGCCGAGGTCCCATGGCGCGCTGACGTGGGGCGCGGCAACCGGAGGCCACGTGGCCACGAAGGCCGCAGTTATAGCAGGTGATGACAGTAGTCGGAGATCTCGGTTGCTCCAGCTTGCGGGCCGCTCGCAGAGGCGAACGACCCCCCGACCTCCAGTCCCCCGCTCGTCCCGCGATGAACGCGTCCTCTCGTGGGCTGACGACTTGGGGCACGGTGTCAACCGGACCCGGAGTTGAGGCCACGGCAGCGTTGCAGACGACCCCCTGCTTTCGTTGAAGGACCTCGTGCGCTTGCATGCTCGTGGCGACCCGTAATGAAGAAATATCGGTGTCGTCGGCCGTGTTGATGGGGACCCCCAGGTCCTGCGCCAACTTGAGCAGCTGCTCCAAAACCATCGCATCTTGGCCCTCCTCGTCCATACGAGGGAACGCGGCGTCAGCGAGAGCGAGCAACGCCGTGCGGTAGGCGAGCACGGTCTCCGTGTCCGCCTTCCGTCTTGCGTAGAAATGATGGCGGCACGCCGAGGGAGGACCGTAGACTTTGGCCATGAGAGCCAGCGCATCCTTGAGCGTGGAGCGGTCCGACCTGCGTGCGGACGTGAAGGCCGCGAGCGCGTTGTCGTCCAGCATGGCAGGCAGTGCCCGCAGTGCCGTAGCGTCGGACCAGGCGGACATCTCTTGATGCGCCAAAAATCTGCGCTGAAATTGGCTCCAATCCCCGCCTTCCGCCTTGAATGCTGACAACGTGGGAAGGCGCTGCTGAAAGATAAAGTCGTCCTCCTCCTCGTGCTTCCTCTCTGCCCCCCCGTCGGTGTGTAAGATGGCGGCCCCAGTGGCGGGTGTGTGATGGCGGTCCGCCGCGCGCGTTGGTGACGTCAGCGGCCGCGCATGGAGAACCGCTGCCACGTGGTGATGGCCGTTCCCGCCAAAAGTTGGAGCGGATGAAATGGCGGGAATCGCCAAATCGTTTTGGCGGGAATCTGCAGGGCGACCCTGTAGCACGTCGGCCGCCGTCCCCGCTCCTCCCGACGAGCTGATCTCCGCCAAGATGGACGCGGCGGCGAGCAGCAGCTCCGCCAGACGGGAGTGTGCCTCGCGAAGCACGGTGTCAGTCCCCCGTCGCTCGACCGGCGCCGTCGGTGGATCCTGCCCCGTGGGCAGCTCCTCTTCCTCACCCCCTGATGCCCGCTGGCCCGCGTCGTCGAGGTTGTCCTCGTGGTCAATCCCGTGGGTCCGACGGTTCCTCCTTGTATCCATGCTTGGAGGACCGTTTCACTTCTGACGCCAGTTGAAGTATGGGAATTGACGGCAGGAACTTCTTGACGGGTAACACACTTTTATTAAATCCTTTAGGTATCACAATACAACGTGTGGTCTCTCTTCTTCCTCCGACACACTCCACTAATCTCGTGTAAGCTCTAGGCCTCTGGCTACACCCGATACACTTGACTCGTGTAGACCCTATGCCTCTGGCTACACACAATATACTCGACTCGTGTAAGCCCTATGCCTCTGGCTACACAATACACTCGACTCGTGTAAGCCCTATGCCCTGGCTACACATAGTACATTCGGCTCGTGTAGACCTATGGCTACACCCACTACACTCGCCTCTGGGTTACACAGAGTCCCGGTCCCCTTAGGACAGCGGGGCTAGGTACCGCAGGGCTCTAGGTCTTCATCCCCGTCTTCCTTCTTCGCTGGTTACACACTGCCCTTACGCCTGTGTGCATCCCCTTTTATAGCCCCTGCTCACGAGGGACGGAGCTGATGCGGCGTCGACGTGAGCGTCGTTCCTTAATGACCCAATCACGACGCACTCTCTCTACGATCCGCTTTCCCCAGCGCGTGTTAACATTACTCCACCAATCACACTGCGCTGCCACCTGATCACTCCCTCTCAGCGCGTCACCGCCCACAGCCAATCGGTACCCCGTAACCCACGACCCCGCGCTGACCCCTGATCCTCCACCGTCAGCGCGCGTCACCACCTACACAGCCAATCATCACGCACTGTGCATACTATCCTTAATCCCAGCGCGTATCACCTCTACACATGTATCACTATGGGCCTCAAAGCGTCTCTCTCTATCTCTATGTGTCTCTATGTTTGGCTGCTGCTATAAATGTCCACGTGATGTTGACGATGATGATAGGCCACTTTATTGAGCTGCCATTGTTTGTGATGGAGAGGTCTCTTCTGATAATAAGTGAATTGCTCAGTTGGGGTTTTACCTGGCAAAATAACAACTAGTATATATGTTTTTTTTCGATTTAAAGCTTTCGTGACTGCAGGGATTCATCTTCTTGGTTCTTTCGGTAAAGTAATGTAGAAGGGAAATAATAAAATAAAAAAATAAAACATAATAAAATAATATTATTATATTAAGTAAAATTTTATTTTTATTATTTTATTATTTCCCTTCTACGTGACTTTACCGAAAGAACCAAGAAGATAGAAATTTTTGTTTATATTGTTTTACGTGATTTGTTTACCTTTCCTATACTTCGCCCTCCTATCCTGTTTGTGCATCGTGTTGTTTGTTGTTGCAACGTTCTGACTTCGTGGCCTCCTTATCGGAGCATCTGTGACTTGAAAAGAGCTTCACAGCTCATCGGATTCTTCCTGCAGCGTCTACACGACACGCTGGTTCTGGCTGCTGTCTCCGCGCTTGTCTCTGATTCTCCCTCGTCAGGTTCGATCACCGGGCCCCTGACGATGCCTGCTGCTGCTCCTTCTTTGGAGTTTGTGTCAATCTCTCTCTGTCTCTCCCCGTGGAGATGTTAACGACCTCGCCTGGTATACAGGAAGTCGTGGGTTCGATCGAGACCTCGATTATGCCTGCTGCTGTGTATTTGGAGTTTGCATCTCTCTCTGTCCCTCCCTGTGGAGATGTTAATTACCTCGCTTGGTATATAGGAGGTCGTGGGTTCGATCCCGACCCTAATGTCTGCTGTATATTCCGTGTCTCTCTGTGGTCGCGTGGATTTTTCTCCTCCGGATTTTCTCATTCATTTTCCACGTGACAATGATGAGCCTACTTCATTGAACTATCATTTGTGATGGGCAGGGCGCTTTTGAAAAACGATCGACTTCATAGCAGCTCATTTGAACATTACTTAGTAAAATAAAATAAAAGTTCGTGTCTAAATCCATCCTGTATACCAGGCGAGCTAGTTAACATCTCGCCACTGCTGTCCCCAGATGTCCATCTCGGCACTGCCGCTGCTGCTGCTGCTTGGGGTGGTGGGAGCCCAGCAGGAGAAGACCGTCTGCGCGGGCATCAACGGTATCCCCGGTCAGCCCGGAGCCCCGGGGCAGCACGGCGCCCCTGGGGCCCCCGGGAGGGACGGCAGAGACGGTGAGGGGTCGGGTCCCAGAGACCCCCCCACGGTGCGCTCGTGGGGAGCTTCGCGATCACTCGCTCGTTCACTCGCTCACTCATTCGCTCACTCGTTCACTCACTCACTCGTTCACTCATTCAAACGTTCACTCGCCATGTCATGCACTCAATCGTTCACTCGCTCATTCTCGTAGGGGAGTGTCTCGTGTGGAGTAGAGTGAGATGAGAGGGGAGAGGCAGGAGAGTGCGTGGAGGGGAGCGGAGTGAGATGAGATGGGAGAGGCAGGAGAGTGAGTGGAGGGGAGTGGAGTGAGATGAGAGGGAGAGGCAGGAGAGTGCGTGGAGGGGAGTGGAGTGATATGAGAGGGAGAGGCAGGAGAGTGCGTGGATGCGAGTGGTGTGAATTGAGAGTGGCTTGAGGAGCGGACGAGCCATGCTTTGTTCTTCTCGCAGGCGCTACCGGAGCACCTGGAGCCAAGGGAGACCTCGGGGCTCGAGGCTTGACTGGGGACCCAGGTGAGACTGTGACACTGACTCATGTGCTCCGAGCAGCTGATTCTATATATTTATTTTATTACAAAGTAAGACTCACTGAGCTATGTGAATCTTGTTCAAAAGCGACCTGGTAATGATTGCTCGACGAAATGGGCTGATGTCCACGTGGACATTTTTTCAGGCAAATACATTTCTCAATGTGGAAGGAATAAAAACGGAGGACTCGGTGAAAAATCCACGCAACCACGGGGAGAGACGCATTCAAATTCCAAATGAACAGCTGGCGTCAGGATTAGGAGATGTTAACTCCCTCGTCTGATCCACAGGAGGTCGTGGGTTCGAACCCAACCCTGACGATGCCTGATGTATATTCGGCGTTTGCATGTTCTCCCCGTGGTCGTGTGGATTTTTCATCGGGTTCCTTTGGTTTTTCCTTCCACCTTTAGAAACATGCGTTTAGACTTTACAGTATTTGACTGCTATAAATGTCCACATGATCATATCAGCCACCACATTTAGCTGTCACAGTCGACAGTCAGATCGTTGCTGAAAAAAATAGCAAAACAGCAGCTCGGTGGACCTTACACCTGGGAATTTAACAAATAGTTTAGTCGATGGGTCTCTATGTATCTCCATGTTGTAGAAAACAGAGCTCACGAGGTATACCGTGAATAGGTGTAACATCTGTGGGGGGTGACGCCCCTCTCCTCCTCCGCCCCTTCTCGCCGGGCTGCTGCCAATCGTGTGATCGGCCTCCCCGCACCACACACTCTCCACGTACACCACCACTAATGTGGAGGTAGCTGCGCGCACGCACGTGAATATGCACGCGCCCCTCCCCCCTTCCTGTGCGTCGGCATTAATCCGCTGTGCAAACACGCACGCGGGGAAAACAACGCCCGGGTTGATGATAATATACGCGTGTTTCACACGCCCGCACATACCGCACCACACCTATGTTCTCCCCATCCACACAGAAATCACACCACACGGATCCTCTGTGCTAAAGTTTATTAATGGCGCCAATACGCATTACCCGGAGGAGGAATATTTCGCGAGGAGAGCCTAGCGTGACTCTGCCTATGAACACAGTTACCCAAACGTTCTACCACGTACCTCGTCGCTGTACTCACGGCGTCGCACGGACGCTGTGAGAGTCGGAGGGAGAAGGACGAGCGAAACCCTCGCTCATCACTGCCTCGTAGCAGCACTCGCGGGCATCACACGGATGCTGCGAGTAGCTCAAGGGGCACCTATCTTTGATCTCTAAACTTCAAAGGCCCAGGGTGACGTCATACAACGCAGCCAATCGGGCGCTTACCCATGCTCCCCGTAATCGTCCCTCTCCACCGTCTCTACCGTGGCGGCCTAATCCCCTCACTTCAAAGGCCCAGGGTGGCATTGTACTGCGCAGCCAATCGCGTGCTCACCTGCACCGTCTACATGGAGGGCCACCGGGTCTGCTGCTGCTGCTGCTGCGGCCCCTCACCCATTGTCCTCCCGTGCTCATTAATTTTAACCCACTGGTCTGCCCTTCTGGCCTAATATTCCACCCTCCGCCTCTCCCAGTGTCGTGAGTAACTAATTGCGGTTGGCCCAGTGAACCTTTTCGTTCTGCGCCCATACAATCTTGAGCCAATTTAGGGGCACTTCAATGTAACTTGATGACTTGATGCCAAACCTGTGAGGGTCGGCCAATCTCCTGGCACCAGGAAACCGTGGGACTCTCCCTCTAGGGGCCCTTCGGATTTAAACCCGATGTGCCAGGCAACCCCCCGTCAGGACACTACGTGGGTGCACTGTGTGTGGGTGGGTGTTTAGTGTGGAGGCCGGAAGGGGAGTGCTCTGTGGTCGTGGCACCACACATCACCCCTTGTTCTGGAAAACAGAACTCATTCAGTACACCATGTAGAGCGGAAACACGCGTTTTATACAGACACATCGGGCAAGGACTTCCTGTTATAAAACAAAGACGTTTGTCACAAGACACGACTCAATTGTGCAGGTTTGGCTCACCGTCATCAACATTGATGCAGAATTGCCCCATCTCTTCGTTTGAGAGTTGGGATAAACACAAAAAAACAAAGATCCCCCTATAGCCTTAACAGACTGTTGTGGCAAGTGCTGTTGGTGAGCACCTATGAAAACTGGCACGCCTTTGTCTCCCAAGTGGCGTTGTTAACACATCTCACCAGGTAATCATTTGAGGCTGATTCGACCTAAGGTAGGAGGCCCAGTACCAGTTCAGATAATCGTCACTTGTGTTGACCATGAGTGGGAATCGAACTCGGGTCTCTGCTGGGTTCATAGCGCTAACTGCTACACTACCGTGGGGTAACACACACACCACAAATGCCATGCATTCAGACCGTGTTGTCCGCCTAGGTCTGCCGGGAAAGCTGGGCCCTCTTGGCCAACCGGGGCTCGCGGGGATTCCGGGAGTCCCAGGTGAGCAGGGCAAAAGAGGCGAGAAAGGCGAGCGGGGAGAGAGCGGCGTGGGGCCCAGGTCGGCCTTCTCTGCGAAGGTCGGCGCCTACACGCCGGCGGCCGGCTCCCCCGTGACGTTCAACGTCATCATCACCAACCCGCAGGGCCACTACAACCCCGGCACGGGGAAGTTCACCTGCGCCCATCCAGGCGTCTACTATTTCACGCTGTACACGCACCCCGGTGAAAAGCACCTCGTGATTATGATAATGAAAAACGGGAACGTCATCTCTAAGGTGTGCGGTGAGAAATACAACGCAATAAGTGGCAGCGTCGTGCTGAGTCTCAAAGCTGGGGACGAGGTGTGGCTGGAGATGGAGGCTCCGTACATTCATTTTCACTTCGGCGTGCATAGAGACTCGGTGTTCAGCGGCTATTTCCTGTACCCCGATTGAATCAATTTTTTTCATCGGCGTATGTGGGAAAACAGATCAAGAACACATTCACATGCACACGCATGCACCCTCCCCTCCAGTTTAAACAAAGCTTTTGGGCAACATCTCAGAAAAATGCTCAACAAAAATCTGCAAATATTCCCAAAGCTGTGGTAATGACAACTAATTTTGGGATGTGAGATGTTCTCACCAGAGGAAAAATAGGCCCGGCACTTTTTCTCAGCCACCTCTCTCCTTGCCAGCCAGGGTGTCTGGGCGATTATGAATCGGTTAGACAATGCAGAGAGACATAGCCGCTTGCACCAACTGAGAAAGTCCTGAAACCCCACCAATTTTCCCATCCGGCATCAGCAGTGAAGGGAGAAATATTCCAATTCCAGCTGATAGCTTTGAGGGTTGCTCATTGCTAACCTGGGAGAGAGAAGAGTTCGGATCCATTTTCTGCAATTCCCTCAATATTTTTAATCGGACACCAACACAAATTTTTAAATGTGCTTTGATGGCAACAGAAAGAAGGACAATAACTCGATTTGGAATACTGAGAATCTTAACAAGATTTGGAATGTAGTAACTGTGCCTTGGTTCGTTATGCACAAGAACGTGAACCAACTGTGGTGGATAATAATTCATTAACAATCAAGTACAACCAACTCTTCAAACTCTCAGCGACAGTAATAGCACGCGTCTATACAACCCTGCAGTTCACCGACTTAACACAGAATAGACAAAACTCCACTCCACTCGCTCACTCACTCACAATGAACTCACACGCGCTGATGATGACCACGATGGTGAAACATACAAAAACTAGATTCCCCGACTAAAGAGGAGCTGCCCGAAGTTATCAACAGAAGGTGTGTACCGGATTAATTGCACTCGTAGTTAAATGCTTTGTTGGACAGACGGTACAAAACATTTGTTTGAGATTGAAAAAAACTTTCGTGACTGCAGCAATTCATATTCTTTGGGTCTTTCAGTAAAGTACGTTAGATAGGTTGAAAAAACATTACAAACATTACTATGTTTTTTTATATGAGACTAAAATAACACTGAAGAAATATTAAGTACTTGCAAACACAACTGTTGGCATGTGCAGAACAAGCATGCCAACAAGGGCATTAAATTGATTTTGATAACGTTGCTTTGGTTGTGTAACACTAATTATCATTTGGCCAAGACTAATTCGAGAAGGCATTGAATTTGAGAGAAATAAAAATAACTTTAACCGTTCTGACTGATTCAGGCTTAGCACTGCTTGGAAGCTTATTATTAAGTAATACACCGTACAATTGTATGCCTTGTAAAGGCATCACAATACTGATTAACTGTGATTAAGCCATCTGTTCAAGATTAACATAATCCATTGTTACAGGATTACAATAATCACCCTCTGCTCTCTGATTGGCTCACAGTGATGACGCCACGTTTCTCTATTTAAGACCGGAAGTAAGGTAGATATCTCTTCACATTCTGTCAGTCGCCCGATGATGATGATGATGGTTGGCGTAAGGTGTTAGCGAAACGTCATGGTAATAAAAAATTGTTAATGTTGCAATAGATTTTCTCAAGCAACACACAACCGGTTAGTGCTGAAGTAGAAACTAATTGGCCACGCTCTTTGGTTATTTCGGCAAAGTTACGTAGTTAGAAATAAAATAAAACAAATCACGACGTTTCGATCGTGATTGTTTTTATTTGAGTTAATTTCTAACTACGTGACTTTACCGAAATAACCAAAGAGTATGGATTCCTGCAGTCACGAAAGCTTCAAATCAAGCTTAATTGGCCACCTTTTGTTTACGTGACAACCCTTTACTGAATGGGCTATGTCGGGTTAACTTATACTTACGCCATTTTTCTCCAATAAAAAAATCTATCATCAATAATATTGGTGGCGACAGCCTACTGCTACTTTGGGTTAAATTGACATTCATAAAGCACAGGACACCGTCCAGTTAAAGGACCGGAGTTGAGCGTTTAGGCGTCAGAATCCAAGTCCGCATTGCAGCCCGGTGAACCACCACAGCCGGATGTTGTGTTCAGCCCACGGGGTCTTAAATACAGGAGCACTGGAGATAGAGAGATGCTCTCTTTCTCTCACATCGTGAGTTAAAGACTGCTGCACTAAGTCCCAGCGCATGCAACACGCTCCCAGGTGGCGCAACGACCGATTCGCTATTTCAACGTTGGTGGGATTGCTTTGCAAGTTACGACTCACGTTTACTCAAATAGCTACGCATGCTTTTTTAACCCCCGTATATACAATATGTAGGCTATAACTACATATATAACCGGAGGTGCGGGAGAAGGACAATAAACTATGTATCTCTGTGTGAGTTTCCGTGTCTTTGTCTGAGTCTGTGTCTATATGTTAGTTTATGGGCTTCTATGTTAGTCTTTGAGTTTGTGTGAGCCTATGAGTCTCTGCGTGAGTCTATAGTTCATCGTGTGAGTTTATGGGTCTCTGTGTGAGTTTTTTGCATCTGTGTGAATCTATGGGTCTCTGTGTGAGTCTATGGGTCTCTATATGAGTTTAGGGGCTTCAATGCGTGTCTTTGACTTTCTGCGTGAGTTTATGGGTCTCTTTGTGAGTCTATAGGTCTCTGTATGAGTCTGAGTATCTGAGTATATGGGTATCTGTGTGTGTGTAATAAAAGACTCCGTCAGGCACTGTTGGTCTCCGCTTTTCTTTTATTCAGGTTCTTCTCCGCACCCCACTGGTCTCCTCCACGGACCAGCGTCGACTCGCGCGTGCCCCGCGCACCCTCCCTCTCGCGTGCCACACACACGCCTCCGTTAGCTCCTCCACTCGTCCTCACACCCCGCTGGTTTCTGACAAGGGACCAGCGTCTCCTCTCGCGTGCCCCGCACGCTCCTCTCGCGTGCCACGCACGCTCCTCTTGCGTGCCATGCACGCTCCTCCGTCAGCTCCTTCTCGCGCGCGCCCCGCACGCGCTCTCCCGTTACTCCTCTCGCGTGCCCCCATACGCTCCTCGGTCAGCTCCTTCTCCCGCTCCGCACACCGCTGGCCGACGGTGTGCCGAAGCCCCATCAGCCACGTGGCTGATGGCGCGGCGGCCACCCAACGTGGTCCCGCTTCTTCACTCCATCAACTGGCCCCGATCACTTCCGGGCTCCCCTCTATATCGTCTCTCCCACGTGACCCTGACTCTTCCCCTTCCGGATCGTCAGATCCGGCCTTCCCATACTGCCCTGCTGGCTCCACCTCCATTCACCTCGCTTCCCATTGGAGCCGAGGTGAACGGCGGCTCCTCCCACACGCCCCCCCATACCGGGCCGTGTGATTGGGCAAGAGCCCAGCAGCAACCCCATTTCCGCTCGCATTACATGTGTATGAAACCTGTCCTCTCTCTCCGATGCGTCGCATAACGTTGCCTTATACCCCATGCAGGGGAGTAGCAGCAGCAGCTCCTGACTGAATTATTTATGACCTCGGTGTGTTTCTTTCTTTTATCGGCCTAGAATCTCTTACTTTCTAAAAAATATCCAATCCTGTTTTGGGGATTCACTCAATTACCAGCTTCAACAACAGCACACGTGGAATGAATGTTTTCTTCTGACATCAGAGCCACCGATGGGGGTGAACTCCTTAGATTGATTTGTCATTGTGTGTCTCTGTTCATGTGTGCGTTTCTGTCTGCGTGTCCATGTGTATATATGTGAATGTTAATATACATGTGCCTGTTCATGTGTTGTGTGTGTATCTATATATGTTCATGTGTATGTATCTGTATGTGTTTCTTTGTTCACATGTGCATGTCTCCGTGTCCATGTGTGTGCACGTGTGTGTGTGCGTGTTGATTTAATTCTATGTGTGTGCGTGTTCAAGTGTCCAGCAAAAACAACCACCTATCTCCTCACTAGGGCCGGATGGTAATGCTGTGGTGGATGTGAGCAATGCCATCCAGGAAAGGCCAATTACAAAATCGGCAATACCCGTTCATGGTGGTTATAGCCACCATAGCGGCAATACCAGGGCTCTGGACGTGTTTGAGGGTCTGGTAAACCCTCCACCTCCAATACAAATACCACTAATATACATGTAAAAAATCTAACTAAACTTGTGCCGCAGGCCCCGCGGGGACAGGCTTCTGTGACGTCTCCTGGATAAACCCCATTTAAAGTAGCCAAGGGACTGAATCATTACAATTGGGGTTCCTCCAGAGACAGCAAGAAGCCATTGCGAGTGGCCACGTGGAATGTTAGAACGCTCACTGCGGAGGAGAGACTGCCACTCCTCTGTCAGGAGCTGGACTGGTACCGGCTGGATCTCTGCGGCATTCAGCAGGTCCGGTGGACTGGCTCCAGCCACAATGAGGGGTGGATAGTGCTCTACTCGGGGCATAAGACTGCCAAACAATAGGGAGTGTATTTCCTTCTGAACAAAATAATGAAGGGGATATGGGAGCATAGCGGTGAGGTGTTTGAAATTAGAAGACCCAGGCTACTGTGGGCTCGCCTTCCATTCAATCAAAGGTGAGGTATGGAGGTCGTGGTTATTTATGCCCCCACCGAAGATGAACATAAGTGGAGGGATGCAGGCAAGGCCGATAAATCAGATGCCTTTTATGACCTCCTGTCACAGGTGCTAGCTAAAGTGGCCCTTCGAGATATAGTAATCTTGTTGGGTGGCTTTGAGTCCCGAGTGGGTCATGATGCTGGCACCTAGTCTGGAGTAATTGGAAGGCTTCGGGCAGATCAGCTCAAAAACAACGGTTGGAGGCTGCCAGATTTGTGTGCAGCCCATGGGCTTGTAATTACAAACACACTGTTCCAGCATTGGTGCATCCACACAACATCATGGATGCATGCCGGGTCCAAACAAGAACATCTGGACTACGTAATGATGGAAAAGTGTATACGGGCCTATGTCCTTGACACCAGGCCCTACCATAGAGCTGATCTGCCCACTCACCATCGGCTTATCATCTCTAAGATGCGCATGCCATTCTTGGGTGTGCATCCAGGACCCTATTCGAATACACAGCGGCCTGGTCTCAGCTTGCTAATGAAAGTTGCAAGCGAGAATTTCATGATCACTTGCAGCTGGGGTTTGCATCTTCCACCATTCCTGATGTCGAGGGGAAATGGGCGAGTTATAGGACTGTGGCAATGGCTGCTTTGGGTGCACTGTCCAAATCTCCCCAGAGACCCTGGCAGACAGAGGAGGTGTTCAGGCTGGCTGAGAAAAAGCAACATGTCCCCTTTCACGGTCTACAGCATCCCATGTCAGAGAATGAGGAGGCTTACCGCAGCCTTCTCTCAGATATTTGGAGATCCATACACAGCTGCAAAGATGGGTGTTGGTCACGGGTTACTGAGGAGATGGATTCTGCCTCAGTAATACCCGTTCACAAATCACTGTTTAATCTTTTTCAGTACAGTACTTGGGGCTGATTATGTACAATATCACAGTATCATGTAGAAGCAATATGGTAGCTTTTAAAAATTCCAAACGGAACATAGGGGGGAAGCAGTGCTTCTGTCGATACAGAAAACCAATTTTTATTTTTGTCTTTTACCAATATAATCAATGTGATATTCTAAATTCAGTTTCGAATCCAGGATGACCCCAATATACTTATAGATCTTGACTTGCTTTATTTGATAATTATTTAAGTAATGTAATTGTGGAAAATAACTTCCTGCTTTCGTCCTGGTGAGAAGCATAGCACCTTGGTTTTGGAGGTATTCCGGACTAGTTTAAGAGCAACTAGCTGATGTATTTTGTTGAAATCACCCTGGAGCTTAGCAATCAATCACGTCATCCGGAGAGCAGCCGGCAGTAATCAGTATTGTGTCATCTGCAAAAAAGATTTACCCTGGAATGATCCAGGTCAGTGTCCAAGTCATTTACGTAAACATAGAACAAGAGGGGGCCGAGGATGGAACCCTGTGGAACCCCTTTTGTTATCTTAACACTGTTTGACCTCCAACCATCTGTGCATACAGTTTGGGTGCGAGAAAAGAGGTACATTTTTAACCATTCTACTGCGTGTTTGGAGAAACCGAGACAACTTAGTTTACTCAGCAGGATGTTGTGGTCTACTGTATCAAAGGCTTTGGACAAGTCAAGATAAAAATGGCGCATTACTGCTCATTATCAAGGCTACTGTAAATGTGATTCAGAGAGTCTAGTGCAGCAGATGTGGTACTGTATTTTTTTCGGAACCCAGATTGTTTTAGATGTCATAGATTGTTGTCGGACAGGAAACTGCTAATTTGGTAGTTACTAAAATTCTCATCAACGGAGACAAAAATGAGATAAGTCGGTAGTTATTTAGATTATCTTTAGGGCCCCATTTGTGAAGTGGACGAACATCATTAGGGGTATTGTATATATGCCATTTCAAAAAATTCGATGAAGAATCATATCGCCTATTTTTTATGTAATATTTAGTTTTTTACATATCTGGATTTAGCGCGTTCTAAAAAAACACAGTAACGGAGGCCTGGGAACTCCTCCCTTCAAACAACAAAGGCAAAATGAGCACCCCCTACTGCTTCGCTAGCGTCCCTAACACAAGGGAGACAGGCATCGTAGAGGTACTTACTCACAAGCCTTTGCTTGAA